ATCATACACTGCCACCAAAGAAAACATTTTATGCTATCTCAAGTGTGCATTTTAGTCAAAGAGAGCTAACCCAACGCTGTGTCGAATCCCAGCTTCATCTCTAGTTACACAATGGCCTTGATGCATCATTTCTCTTTCCAGTCCTATTTCCCACATCTACCGATGATTAAATGAGATTCCCTAGTGCCTGCCACAGTCCTCCATGGCCCATGCAGGCTACACTCCATGCTGTCTCCGCGACCTCTCAAGCGGCATTAGAGCTAATCCTTATATGCTTCCTTCATATAGAACTAAAACTAAAGGTAGTAACTTTTCCTAAGATTCCCAATACAAACTGACAAACTGTATTTCCAGAGAAACCTGTTGGCAGTTCTCACGAGCTTCTCTTCACTGTCAGACCGTGCTCCTTTCAAGCTTATCCTTGAACTTATGGTTCTGACTTTTTATTTTGAACTCATTCAGATTTACGGAAAAATTGCAAGAATGGTGAAACACCCCATCTCCCCTTCAGTCAACTGTCCAACTGTTAACATTTTTTTGTTTTTGTTCCATCATTTCTGCCATATATATATATACATATATATATGCCACCTTATACATAAATATACATAAATAGATGTAGATTTTCTGATTCATCTGAGACTGAGTTCCAAATATGATACCCTTTTATGCCAGGATTCTCAAACAACGTGATGAGCAAAATCAGAAAGCTGACACTGATGCAGCATGGTATCTATCTCGCAAACCTCAAATTGTACTTCACATCTTTCATAGCTCAAAAGAAAAAGAAAACTAATCCAGAAATCAATCCAAGATCCTGCGTTGCATTTAGCTGTTACACGCGGAGCCTTCTTTAATATTCAGTGGCTCCCTCGGGCTCTGCTTTCCATGACCCTGGCATTTAGAAAAGGATACACAGGGATATTTGCCAACTATCCGTCAGTTTGGCTTTGCCTGATATTTCTCCCTGATTAGATGAAGATTGTGTGTTTGGGGCAAGTCCACCACTTGAAGTGACATTGTGCTCATCTCGAGAAGTGAGATCAGGAGGGTGATACTGCTGTGTCCAAGCAGTGGTGAGGCTAACTTCAGTCACTGGGTTAGGGCAATGTCTCTTTCTGCACTGAAAGGTTACATCAATAATTTATACAAACATCATGCTCCTCATTCAAGGCCCATCTGCTGGCTTTAGCATACACTGACGATGCTTTAGAAGTCAAGGGACGGCGGCCAAGGTGTGGGTGACATTCTGACACCCTGTCCCACTCACACTTGTTTGTGTTGTGTGACCCACGGTGAAGCTTTTCTCATTCTCCACTACTCACATCTGCACAGACTTGTGGATCTGGTTTGTCTGTTAATACCATCATTCCTTCCCACATACTAATCATCTTAGATCAGGCCAGTGGGTGTTCCTTGGGACTGACCTGTCACATTCTTGTCTTATCCTTCTCCGGGACTTTCTCACATCAGACATTGCAGGAGGTTCTCCTGTAGCAACTTTGATTTTGTTTTTTTGGTTTTTTTTTGTTTTGTTTTGTTTTGTTTTGTTTAGTGGAGAGCCGAGGTCTACATGACAGGTGCTACAGAGTGTGGTTGCTTCTTAATCTACACACATAATCACAAACGTGTATGTGTGCGTGTATGATGTGGATGTAAAAGTATAATAATAATATGGCATTTCTTTCATTTTGTTTTGAGACAGGGTTTCTCTATATAGAATTTAAAATTACAACTTGGATACTGAATGACTCCTTTGCCCACTTATCTATCAATACAATACAATAAGAAATAAGTATTTCTTATTGCTTTAAGCATATTTTTAATAGTAACGTAACAGAAGAAAAATGTAATGTTTGTGGTAAGTGCTTTCCCAGACTTTCCGTTTGACCCTTTATTTCTCACGGAAGTATTTCTGACACTGTGCAGCAGAGACTGTCATCAACATTTGTAATTTCTTCTGTTGTTTGGAGCCATATAAAGTCTGATCCCTGGCAGAGATTGATACTCACCCCCATTTTCTTCTTCTATTTTCCCATTAATATACTTAATTAACTTAGAATATATTGTGGGAAACTGAACGAGATGAAGATCTAAACCTCTTTGATATTTTTTTTCAAGTAGCTAACTGATTGTCCTAGCACCATTTATTATATAATCCTTCCTTTCATCACTGATTTATCATTGTTGTTTTTAGAAATTGCTTTTGATATCTCCATCTGGCCAAGAGTTTGTATAAAGGTTGCAGGGCAAAACTGTTATTCTCTCCTAATATTACATAATTTAGAACCTCAGAAAAATCATATACTAATCGTTTTGGCCTCTATATTTAACACAAGCTCACAGCTCTCCTATCAGTAAAATGGGAACAACACTAGAAGTTTCTTCCCAGGGTCTCCTAAGGATTTAAGGGGTCTCCACACTTACAGTGTTTAAAATAGCATTTAGTGCACAGATGAGTAGAATGAAGGTCAGCTCTTATTTTGGGGGGGGGGGGATCTTTGTGCTTTTTAATGCTAACCCTTATGTTTCTAGGATGAGACACTGAAACTCACAAACATGAGATGATTTTCCCAAGATTATGCATTCTATCTCATTCCGTCCCTCCACACTGCACACATGAAGGTGGGTTCCTCCGGGCATCTCCTGCATTCCTATTACCGATGCTATGGTGCTATGTGAATTCCATTATCTTGCCATGCTGGTAAGTTCCCAGTGTTTAAGTGAACTTGTTTGGTAGAATGCATGGATCCTTATGTTGATCCCACTCAGAATCCATCTGTATTTACTCGAAGACTGTAACAGCAATATCACAACCCTCAGATGACACTCTTTTTGCGCTTATTTTAGTTCTTACCCTCTTCTGGTGTTGTTTTTCTCTGATATTAACTTCATAAAGCATATACAGGCCTGCATCTTTTCCATACCTTGAGAGCCTCCGCCATCACCACACAAGCAAACCACAACCACAGCTGGTCAGCAGAACTGTTTTTAGTTTTCCCAAAATGATAAAATTAAATTGGTATTATTTGAGGTAGGAGAATGCTTGAAGAATCTAAATGACAAGCAAGGTCAGGGGACTTGGAATGTATATGAGAGGACAGGCTTTCTTGACAGGGCGCATAAAGAAGCTGTTTTCTCAACGAGCCCGGCACGATGCTTGACTGTAGTGGCTATTTGCATGGTGCAGCAGGTACAGACGCTACAGAGGAAGGAAGAGCTCCTTCTGCACAGTCCACACTTGGGGCTGGAGTATGGCAATGCAACCCTTACACTGTTAAGACAGACCTAATCCTGCTACAGAGTTCTGTTTGAAACCACGTATCTAAACAACAGACCCTGCTGATAACGCTGACCCTTCCATCAAAGTCATTCCAACATCAAGTGCAGAAACAGGACATGATTCTGGGGACGAAAGTGTGTTAAGACTGAAAGGCAGGAATATCTGGCTAGCATCTAGCAAGGGTTAACAGGTCTGCATGTTCCGTGGTGACCCAGTGACCAGGAGGTACTGTCCATTCATCCTGTCACTCCGGGGTCTTTAGTTCCCAGAAGAGCCAGCTCTGTTAATGCTCACGAAGCTGCTGTTTCCACTGAACAAATGAACTAAAGAGATAAAAATAGACCAGGAATGATAATGCATGGCACTTAATTTCATCTGACTCGTATACAGACAAGCTCCTCTGCATGTCACTTGCTCTCAGTCATTCTGTGGTGGCTAAGTGATCTTGTCTTACCTCTGCTGTCACAATGCCTGTTGCGGCTGATCAATGGCACATTAAAAATGCCTCAACAATATTTAAAATGACTTTCTAATGGACGATGGCACTGTGAAACCCCTGTCTAGTCATCAGCTTCAACCAGATCAGGATGGCAAATACACAGCTCAAGTACAGACCCGTGGAACATTTGCTGATCTAGTATCCAGCTTTCACCAGAACCAATTTGTCAAGAAACATGGCCATCCACATTCCCACATGGGAATGTCAATTCAATTCACTAGTCTTCATTTTTTTTTTAAATTCCAAAAGCATATCCCATAGGCAAAGGGAAAGTGCAAGAATCTGACAACATAGGTTGTATGTGTGGCTTGGTTTCACCCATCTATCTCCACCTTCAGCTCACTGCAACATCCATAAACTCAAATAAAAACAAGGGAAAATACTAGCCTCTCAGTGACCATTGTGATGTTATCCTGAGAACTACAGTAAGCCACAGCCCACAGGTCTACTAGACAGAAATGGTCCAGGCATGGGAGACTTAATTGACCAGGACAGGAAACAGTAAGAGGCCATGTTGCTTAGAGCACCCTTCAAAATTCTGGGATTATTAAGAAGCAAGAAATCCCAGCCAATGCCCTCTACTCAGTGCAACCAACATAGTCCTGATTGTAGATCAATCTCACATGACTACCCTGCTCTCCCTTCACCTGGTGGTGCAAGCCAAAAGACCCAGCTACTTGGGGAGGCTGAAAGTGCAAGACCTGCTGGGATGCATCATAAGGCCTGCTCTTAAAATAGCCACATATCCCCAAAGGCTAGGGATGAAGCTCAGTGGTGCACACTTGTCTAGTCAACATGGATAACACCCTAGGCTCTATCCCGAGCATGAGAAGAGAGGAAGACATGTTATCCCTTGGGCTGAAGTTGTATCAAACTTCCTCTCTAAGAACAGGTACCACATGTAGATTGCCTACCACACGTGGAAGGACCAAGGGAGGTGTAACTTCATCTTCCAGGGCCGAATTTTCACTTGTAAGGACTAATAACAAGGAAACTGAATGTTCATCTTCCACAAGAATATGACAGTTCAAGCTCATGATCTTGCTTCTAACCACACTACTGCATCATCCATCCCCAACTCCATCCTTTTCCTAGTGGTCCTTCAGCCAGCACTGTCACCAAGTGAACTCAGTCAACCAGGCGCATACACCCTGAACTCCCTAACGGACACCAACGCCTCTTAGAACTTTAGGCAGCCTCAGCGTCCGTTAGAAATGATTGGAGCATGGCGGCCATCCAGCTGAAAACTGTCATTGCACTGCGGATCACAATGAACTCAAAGCCACAGAGCTAGTTACTGGTAGAATATGGTACCTTTACCACCCAGGAGAATGCTTGCTGATAAACTGAACATGCATAACTGTGTTTCTCTGTACGGCTTTGCAAGGGAAACATCAGCATAACAGACACACAGAGGATGTATAAAGCTATTGAAAACATAAAAGGGGACGGAGCCTCACATTCAACACCTGAGTCCCAAAGGGTAGGTCTGGACTTCCTTTCTGTGAATTAAACAAAATGGAAGTGGATTGTTTTCATCTTGTGTGGAACTATGGAGGGAAACTGTCTGCTCTGGGCAGTTTACAGAGACCAAGTACTTCCAGCGTACTGGTCTAACGTCTGTACTGGTGGTCCTAGACAGCTACCATCCACCTTCCTAGCAGAAGAAAAAGAAAAGAAGGGACACCAGAAGACCAGTAATGTATCTATCATAGCACTATAGAGAAGATGTGGACTAAATCCCGAGCCTCTGGGCTCATGGATATGTTTAGAAAGCTTCCTGGAGCTTGCTGAGACACATCCCAGCTAGGACAATTAGGCTAGATTGACTCTCAGATACCTTTCAGCCATGAGCCATTCTGAGTAAAAAGAACTGGAGAGATCGATGAAGCTAAGTTTTCTCCCTGCAGTGAATCCAGTACACTCTTCCATGCAGTTAAGCCTAAAGACTCAGGTGGGATGTCCCTGTGCCAAGGACAGCACTGAGATTTGCAGGGGTGTTCACTAGGCAGTGATACAGCATATGAAGAGGCAGGGATCCTGCCTGATGATACTTGTGAAGAATAGGCCCTGTCACCTGAGGGCAACAGGTTAGCTAGCCCCCTCCACCGAGTTGGGGACCTATATGATCTGCAAGAAAATGACAGGCTGACTTCTCCTAGGAGAGGAAGGAGCCTGGGGGCGTGTTTTAAGCTGTGTGACTCAACCTCTCGGGTCAGTCATAGAACCTCCTTAGCATTCTCACTTCTAAAATTAGAAATAGCAATTCCCTCTTTGCAGGGTGGTAGGAAAGACTGAGTGGCACTAGAAGCACACCCATGTGCCTGGTGAATAGCTAGCCCCACAGTGCCTTCCTACCTGTGAACACTGCCTGGAGAGCCAAGTCAGGTACCTGCCACCTCTCCAGCCCTTGACGCCCTGCCAGAGAGGGGTTTATGGAGACCTGCTGAGTCCCTTTGCATATCTTTAACAAGTGGAGGGCCCAACAGTAAATCTTTACCATCTCCTCTGAAAGTCAGGTTCTCAGGCAGAAAGGTGCCTGATGGTCTCAGGGTCAGGCAGAGGCAGGTGGAGGAAACATTTTCCGAGGAATACAAGTTGGGGGAGTGGCTAGGTGAACCTCAGCCTCACAGGTACTGGTCTTGGATAAAGTGGAATATATCTAGTGTGTCCTCTGGGCACCTGCTCAGATGCCCTCAGGCAAAGCTCTGCAGCAGTCAGTGTGCTAAGCCCTTCCTTGGGCCTGAAATGAAATCTAACTGCCTCCAAGGGGGAAAAAGAGAATGCCTACAGGCTCACCTTTGGGCTCCCTGTGCACCACCTGCCTAGGCGAGGCCCTTGGAAGTGCCTGGCCGTCCGCTCTGCCCTCCTCCTGGGAAGGACGCAGGCGTGAGAGAGCTACTTTTAAGGCAGAGAGTTGGGGCCTGACTCACATCTCCAGATTTGAAGAGAAGGCTTGACAATCTTCTGGACATTCCGAACATGGGGATCACAGAGAGCAGAAGGTTTATTCTCAAACAGGAAGCATCCAGAGGACTCTATAACCCGCTCCCCGGATCAAGGGCAGTGCTGTCCTGGGAGTGGGAAGGGCAGCGCGGATCTCCTGCAACTGTCTTTATCATCAGTACTACTACTACTGCCAGGAGGATGGGGTCCTGTTCTGAGAGCCACAATGACTTCCCACCATGTCCTCCCTGACATCATCTAAGCCTACTCCAGTGGACCCCCTGAGCCTGTCACAGCCCAGGGGACCCATCAGAAAGCCATGAGAAACTAGGTGAGCTGGCATCTCTCACAGAGGGTAAAGCAGCACCAGGCCTGCTCTTCTGAGGGCTGCCAGGCAATAGGACCAGTGCAGAGTGTTCAGAGATGTGGGACAGGGGAAGAGAAGAATGGGGAATAGCGTAGGCCAGGACAGCCTGCCCTGTTCAAGACTGGGCCCAATCCCAGTCTGCTGGACTCCACACTTCTATTCACGCGACCCCATTTTGCTCCCTGAAATCTGTTATTACTCTCCTGTTCCACTATCTTTCCCAATGGTTCTGGCCCAAATGGAACTGGATAAGGTAAACACACATTTATCTGGCCCCAAATATACTGCCAAACAGACACAGTGCTGTCAACTAAGCCTGATTTTTTTCATTTTTATGGATTGTAAGCTTAACAATCATCTTCTAAACTTCAATTTACATAGAGATGTGACTTACCAGACTGAGACAAAAGGAACAAGCCTGTTTAACAGGCATGGCAACTTGGAGTTTGTGGCACTATCTGGAGAGCAGGGTGGGGGTGAGCCCATGTTCCTGTACCCACATAGAGGAGAAAAGGGAAGAAGGAAGGAAGGGGAGGGGAAGACGAGGCCACAGATGTGGCTGAGGCTTTCAGCCTCACTGCTGTCACCCCCTCACCTGGTGGCCCTCAGTGTGCTGGCTTAAGCATAAACGTGGTGCCACTGGTGGATGGGACTCCTACTGTCTGCCTCCACACACATCTGCGGTGTCGTGACCACTCTGGCCACGAGGAACTTCTCAAGGTGGAGGGAAGGATACACAGTCTGGAGCCTGTGCTTCTCCACCCCAGGTATCAGTCACTTTGTACCACAAAGTCAAGAATATTACTGTTTTAGTTAAACACACACACACACCTTAACCCCCACCCAAGAATCCACCTTTCAGGCAACTGGGCCCATCCCAGGGTCTCAGCCACGACCTCTAATTCATCCTCAGAGCAGCGACAGCAGCCCTGGGGATAACCTGCAAAGATTAAACTAGCCATGCACAGATGAAGGGCAATGCCATCACTCAGAACACCCAGAAGAACTTCTGTTTATTTTTATGTGTGTATATGTGTGCGCCATGTGTGTCTGGGTGCTGAGAGTCTAGAACAGGATTTCAGACCTCCTGGAGCTAGAGTTCCAGGCAGTTGTGAGCTACTCAACATGGGCTACTGGGAACCGAACTCAGGTCTTCGAGAAGAGCACACACACTTTTAACCGCTTTCTAATACCTTGAGTTAATTTCTTAATAATGCCCCCTAAATAAACTTTGGCCACTGGTAAAAAGAGTAACAAGCCCTGCTGGAGAATGTAGATCCAATGAACCTGGCCAATGTAGGGGTCCTCCCAGGAGTCCAGCATAGACGAAATGGCCCTTGACTCTAATGTCACATTAATTTTCTTTCTTCACAGCACATAACATCACCTCAAGCTGTCCTATTTGTTTACTAGTCTGTTTGTCTATTACCATCCTTCCACCTCCACCCCCTCACACAGTATTACATGTGAGCCCTGTCTCAGCACTGCCCTCTTCCCAGAACCTACAGGAGCCCACATGGGACCCACAGTTGATGCTCACTCATTCTTGTATCGTCAGAACAAATTACCTGATTGACCCATGCCAGCACACGGCTGGGCATCAATGCCTTTCACTGTCCCATCAGCCTTACAAGAAATTCCAAGTCTCCACGGTACAGAGGCAAAATTGGCCCTGCCTGATGCAAACTTTCCAGAAAGGGGCTCCCAAACTAGCACTGTCGGAGCTGAAGACAGAGAGCAGAGCCCATCCATAGTTGATGAACAGGTGGGGCCACGAGTTACACGGTCTCTCTTCCTTCCACAGCACCTCTGGAAGCCAGAAAGAGGCTCCTGGACGGACAGAGAGAATTCAAGGAACTCAAGAGGCTGCAGCAGCTGCTGAAAAGGGAGACGGCCATACCTGCAGGTAACACCACAGCCACCGTGAAGCCTGAATGGTTGGCTGCCCCGTGGCTAGAGGAAGAAGCCAGATTCTGCTTTTATCCCAGTATCAGAGCAACTGTAAATCTGTGTGTTCACAGGTTGGAGCCCCAGCCATTCACGACCTTAAACCACCCGCTGCCACAATGTTCCAGCCCTTGAAACCCTTCATAGGATGAGGGCTACTGGGGCGCTGCCTGGACTGGCTCTCACTTTCTTAAACACTTAGGATAGAGAGTGGAAAAGCAGGCACGGTACAAAAGGACTCTGGTTTCCAGGAACACCAGCACTTGCCTGCTCCTTGACCTATGTACCTGACCATGGCTACACCTAAGTTGCTGGCTGCAAGCAGTTTTTCTGGAGTCCTAGGTGGGGGACAGAGGAGCAGGAACGGGCAGCCACAGAGAACGCAATGGTGACATCTTTTCTGAAAAAGAACAGGACCTTGGAGTAAAAACATCCAAAGAAGCCAGACACCATCTTCTTCCTTAGCTGGTAGCCCCACAGTATCCATTAATCCACTGGCAAGGTAAACCAGAGGAGCTGGGCACAAGGGTGCACATCCTGCTAATTATGGTAATTGCTATTTAATGATTTGTGTACATTGCTCAGACTGCAAGTCGTACACAGCTGCCGGATGGATGGGGAATCAAGACTGGAGTTGCTACTTTCATTTTTCTTTATCACTAAAACATACATTCGTGTGTGTGTGTGTGTGTGTGTGTGTGTGTGTGTGTGTGTGTGTGTTCACATATTCATTCAACAAACAAGTGGGAAACAAACAAAAGCAAGCCTGACCATTAGACATAGCAGAACCGATCTCCAGGATTCGAACCACTGGAGTTTGGAACCCAAAGATCAGTAATAAAGTGACTTGTCGTCTGGCAGGGGATATCCCATGGCCCAAATAGGAGACCAGTTTGAAGTAGAATTAGAAAGGTCCCCTGAAAAGGGATAGAAAACCCATGAGAGTAAAGAGACCAGCCTCCACCCCAGATCTAGAGACTTGAACACTATAGAGGTGGGAGCTGGTGTTGAGACCAGAGTAGCTCATGGGGCTTCCTCAGTCTTGGGAAGTAACATGTACCTTCTGGGAAATGTTGAAATGACTCAGATATAAGGAATGAGCTGGAGCCTCCAGTGGCACAGGGAGGACCCAGAAAAGCTGTCACAGGCCCTGACCCTCCTCTTAGCACTCCTACAGCCATCTTCTCAGGGCAGGTACTGCCTACCTCAGCCCCAAACCATCCCTCTGGCCCCTAACACTTACAGACACCAATCAAATCAAATGCACAGGGCCTGGAAAGACAACTTACTTCTCTTCTGAGACAGCTCCAAGTTTGGTTCTCAGGACCCTCATCTGGCAGCTCCCAATTGCCTAGCTCCAGGGTATCCAACCCCCTCCTCTGGCCTTTGTGGGCACCCATGTATGTGTAGCAAACATTCACATAGTCACATAAGAAAATCAAAATAAAGTGCAAAGGGGAGCAAATCAAAGAGTAAAAGAAGTTTCTGTAAACCGCTGCCTAGAGGGATGCGGAGGGAACGGAGCAGCATCCGTGTCACTGGTGAGTACCTGGCAGCCAGTGTCCCCGAGCCCTCCCACCCTATGGCTCCCCTCAGGCTGGAGTTCAGGTCAGGCACATGGCAGGACTAGTCTTCAGAGCTCTGCTTGTGTCTTTACAAGCTTTTGTCTATTCAGTCCCCTTGTTCTGTGGCATGTTAAGAGCTTTGTCACCTGTTCCTGTGCCCTTGTCCTAGCAACTTCCATGGTATGATGCGACCTGCCATGGGGCTAGCAGAACACCCATCTCCCCAGGCCAGGTCCTCAATACCCTATTGTCACAAAAGGAACTCAATTCTGAATTACTCCACTCTCAGCCCCAGATGAAAACTGATAGACGGCCACTCCTGGCCTCCCTCCCTCCCTTTACTTCCTCGACCAAGTATCCTCTGGACAATGACCCTCGAGGCAGGAGCTCCCCGTGTATCCATGTGTGTGCAGCCTGTACCAGCACTATGCTTGACCCAGAGGCCATGCTGTAGAAGGTGAGGATGGCTGGTGGGAGACGGGTAGGTGACATCGCTCTCTGTCCTGCCCCACATTCTAGGGATGAAGGCAACTGATCTCAGTGTCCTTGGATCTCTCCACCTCTGATCTTCTAAGAAGGAAGTTGCTTGCCCTGGAAAGTGGCTGTGTCTGAGGATTTGGAGCTGGTCACGTCTGGCCCACGTGCTTGAGAGAATCCTCCACTGTCACCTTGCTTAAAACCATTGTCTCAGTGTCTACAGAGTAAGCTGTTTCTTCTGACTTGCTGTCACCTGTCAGGTCTGTAATTACACTGCACCGTTCTAACAGAGGCACCATGAGCTCTAGAAGGGTAGAGGCAGGCGAAGGCCCCGCGGATCATCCCTTAACATTTTATGCACTCCATCCAGAGTCGGGAGCAAGCAATTCGGTACCTTCCCAAACATGGTCAATTATTCTAAGTGGCTTCTATCCATTGACACAGGTCCCGCCCCATGTGCCCCTGAGCCCCTGCCACACACACTCACTGTGTCTGCACAGCAGAGCAGGAACACACATTTCCTCAGGCCCGTGTCCCTAGCCGCTCTCTGCTAATTAAGACAGGATGTCAGTACTCATTCTTTAGGGTGAGCTGAAGCCACAGTGATAGCGCCTCTCCCAGGGCTGTTTCAATTTGATTATGAAACAAAAGGGATGTGTACTATTCTCTCTGTTCCTGAAGTCTCTCCATGCTGTCTGGGTGAGCAAGGACCCGAGCGGTGGCAGCTGTCCCTGGGCTGAGTTCGCGCCTCCATAATTTCTCAGATCCTGTTACCAGCAGGTCCTCTCTTGTACAGCCCTGGACCACAGTTCTCATTCTCTCTGCTATGATTTACGTGTGGTCAGTCCTTCAAGGTTCCCATGTTAGAAATTTGGTCCCCAGTGTGGCATCATGAGGAGTGATGGGACCTTTAAGAAGTAGAGGTGAGAAGCAATTAGGTCATTGGGGATTGCGCCATTGGAAGAGACTGATAGATCTCATTGGAACCTGGAGAATTCTCGGCAGACATTCTTTTTAAAAATGCAGGTTGAACCCCTTCTCTCTGGCTGTTGTCTCACAACATGCTGCCTGCCTCCCCAAACCACTCCCCACAATACCTCTCCCAGAAGCCTCTGTTCTACTTGCAGACTCCCTCTCCCAAGACCGTGAGCTCAACCTTTTCTTTATGCACTACTCAGTCTCAGGTACTTTGTGATTGACACAGAAAACAGACTATGACATCAAGACATTTCTTTGATTCTATTAGTTGCTGCCATAGTTATTTTCTGAAATTGTTTACGTCTGTTTCTTAAAGCCATGGTAATACACATTATAAAACCTTCCTGTTGTGTTTATGTTTAAGTGTGCAAGCTCTCAATAGTGTCATGCACATTTGTATTACTGTGCAAATAGTATCCAGAATTCTCCTAAACTTGAGAACCTGAAATTCTGTCCTCATTAAACATGAACTCAATACTCTCTCCCCATCTGGTCCCTCATAACTGCTATTCTATCTCTGTGGAGTTGACTACTTGGGGACGTTGTTCATTTAGCACAGTGTCCCTGGGTTCATCATCCACGGGGACTTATTCTCTTAGAGTCTGACTATTCACTGTACTAACGGATTATATGCATACAGTGCTTTGCTCGCCCATTTACCTGTCTGTGGACACTGGGAACATCTCTACCCTTTATGTGTCGTGGATGCTGCTGCTCTGATCAGCAATGTACAAATGTCTCTTTGAGATCATACTTTCTATTATCTTAGCAATATATAGAGAAATTGAGACAATACTTTCTATTATTTTAGTAATATATAGAGAAATTCCTATTTTTGTTTTATTTTTAAATCTGTCACACTGTTTTCTATAGTAGCTGTACCATCTTACATCTCCACCAGAAATACACAAGAAATCCAACTTTTCCACATCTTAGCTACCTTGGTTTTCTTTTCATATTTGGGTTTGTTTTTTTTTTAAATGGTAGTCATCTTACTAGATGTGAAAATGATCCTTTTTTTTCCTTTTGATTTTGAATACTATGCTAGGCATTTGCCTTGAATAATCTTTAACCCGCAAAACCAAACTGACAGTTTTCTAGCCATGGCTACCTCCTACGCCGTGACACTGGCTGCCTTTCTATGCATGTATGCTTCCTCCCAGAACACACCAGCTTGTACAATACATATGTATACATGCATGTACACGTATTCATATGGCATACACTAAGGCTCTGACACAGCAGAGATGCATCATTTTCTGCTGGTGAACTAATTAGCTAAGGCATCTCTTTTGGGCCATGGGGGGGGGGTCTCTGAAGCTTGGCAGGCACATACATGCCACTCTCCTGAGCCTGAGGTTAAGCCTCTTTTACCCAAGAGCACCAGGACTTTCCAAAGCAAACTCATAAGCAATGGCCCGCCCTAACTGAAACAGGAGCACCTTCGTGGTGCACAGAGCAGGTGTCTTGAAGGCCTGTGCTGGCTGGGCCTGCGTCTGCACATAACAGATGCATTGCAAACATCTCCTACCTCTACAAGAATAGTCAAAGAGCTCTCAGCATTCACCACCTGCCCTACACACTACACGTACTGATTTCCTCTCTGAGAAGCCTGGTGGAACAGACACATTTAGTCACAGTTTATGAATGAGGAGATGGAGAGCTCAGAGAAGCACACATCCCCCTCCTAAAGACACACACCTAAGTGGCAGCAAACAGAGAAGTTGACTCTAAACTGTTCTGAACTGTTCTGTCCAAATGTCTCTTTGGATCCATCAGCTTTAGATGTCTGCCCCACACAGATAGACAACAACAAGCAAGAACAGTACTGCCTGCCTTCGGGCACTGCGATGGTTATCCTGAGGGTTGACTATGGAAGGACCAGGAGAATCTCAGCACCCGAGCAACACAACACTGACTGACCTTTCTGTTGTCATTTTGCCCCATGAAAATGGGATTTTCCTGGGATTTGGTGATACCAAGAGACTTTAACTAAAAAGTCATGCCTCCCTGGAGTATTTTATTTTAGGGAGATCTAAGTGAACATCCCAAAAGACTCTGTTTAGGGGAGAGAAGCAAGGCTCTATTGATTGACTGCAACTCAAAGCTAATGAGTTGTGCATGTCTTTACTCAGTCATCCCCATCTACATATAGAAAACAAAGGCTTGAACTGGATCTTTATGCAATCAACTGTTTTTCTTCCTCTCTCAAGCTTCTTCCTTCAGTCCACACAGGAGGATGCAGGGGAATGCAGGAGGATGCAGGAGGATGAAGGAGGATACAAGAAGATGAAGGAGGACGTAAGAGTATGCAGGAGGATGAGAGAGGATGCAGGAGTATGCATTAGGATGAAGGAGGATGCAGGAGCATGGAGGAGGATTCAGGAGCATGGAGGATGCAGGAGCATGGACGATGCAGGAGCAT